TCAGTGTTCTGAGAGAGAAAAACAGGGTTTTTTTAATGTAAATTAAGAAGACCCTTAGTAATATTTCTACCAGGTGCTTTACAAGTTTTATTAGGATCATATTTCATCTGTTTTTATCATTTTTCAGGGAAATGAATCCTTCTACATAATAAATTTTCCAGATGATTGAACTCTAATTTTACAACTGACAATTTTTTAAAAGTTTAACCATTTCCTAAGTTTCTGTTAAGTGCATTACCCATGTCCTTACCTTTTAAAGCTGCCAATGGTAGTTGTACTGTAAATTTTTTCTGTATGACTCAGAATCACAATAATGAATATCAGTTACTGTTCTCTGATACCTTACGTGATGTCTTCTAGAGACTTCGAAGTCTGTAAGATTGTTTGCCTTACACATGGATTGACTTGGACTCTTATACTTTTCAGACCATCTGTCTGCCGTTGATTGTTTTTCATCTTACTGCTGCCCTATCACTTTGCTCTTATTTCTTAGTGCATGTCTGACTCTGACCTTAATCCTTACTTCTGTAGTCCTTTCAGGTTTGCAACTTGTAAGATGAGTAAATATAAATGAAAACTGTTAGGAACTTCAGTGTTGGAAAAGTTCAACACTGAAGTTTAATACCTGAATATTGTAGAAAAGGCATTTCCATATTTCCCATATCTATCTTGGGTTGTTGTGTGTTTTTGTTGTTGTTTTTGTTTTTTCCAGAGGGAATAAGATGGGGAATGGTGATGAAGCACCCTGAATAGGGGATGTTCATTCTGCAATCCCTTCTCCTCTCATAATTTTGGACACACACACACACCTGGTGTGTTTTTCAAGTTACTGGGTCAGGACATAAATTGCCCAGTTGGTCTTGTGAGATCCAGTCACCTTAACTACCACATCACCAGCTGGCCCTGTCTTAGGTTTTTTGTTTCTTTTTTAAAGAGATTTTTGCCTTGGGTCATGTGTGCTTGCTGGAGAGAAAAAGAGACAGTGAGAGGAAAGTGAAGGGACCAGCAGAGGGTGTAATGGTCGCATCGCTGGATCCCCACACAGTTGTCTGTAGTTCGAGTCCTGGACTCAGTGGCTTAAAACCCACGCCGGGTGCATGAGTTTTTGGTGCATGCCCAGAATCCCAAGAGGACAATGGAGGAGATGGGATTGCAGTATGCCCATCCCCCCATGGGGTGATTTCTTCCTTTCTGACTCTGTGTCTCTTCAGTGAGTACATGTGACCTTTGGCAAAAATCTCTGAAAGAAAAGAGAGAAAGAAAGGAAAGTGAGAAATCACCCCTCTGGAGGATGGCTATGCTGCAGTTCCTTCTCTTCTGTTCTGTTCCTGGGATCCCAGGCACACATGCACACGTGCCCTGTGTGAGTATCAAACCATCAGGTCTGGGACCTGAACTGCGCTCAACCATGTGGGAGTCCAGGAACGTAACCACTATGTCATCTTCTGGCCCCCCTGTCTTGGTTTTTGTAAGGTTGGGTTTTCAGTTTTTAAAGTTAGGTCTTAATTTTTTTCTTTCTTATTCTTAGTTATATTCAGGGATGAAAAGAAAACAAACAAACATTTGTTTGTGTACCAAATATGTGCTGAGCTTTATTCTAAGCAATTTATATTTAAATATCACTTAATAAACTCATCTCACTAAATCTTTACAACAACCTTCTGGGTAGATACTATTTTCTCACTTTATGAGGAGGAAAATTAATATTAAGGACTGATAGCCATTGGCTTTATCTGATTTCAGATTTGGTCTTGGATTTTTACTAAACCAGGGTGCTTGCTTATGATCGTCATAGCACAACATGTTATGTTTCTTGACATTGTTAGAGAACTAATTTCTGGATGAATCAGGTGTTAGTTTTAAGGGTTCATTCTTTGAATAAAGGTCATTTTGCAGTAGTGCTAGCTTAGGGAATCGTAACCTTAAACACAATGCCATGCAGTTGGTGATCACTTTGATTTGACTGTTCAGGTCATGGCATTAGTAAAAACTTGTCCTGCCACCATTACTGTGTTACCTGATGGATGAACAAAGCAAAACAAACAAACACTAATATGTAAATAAGGGGCCAGCAGGTGGCATGGTATATAAGGCACGAGACTCCCACTGGGTGACCACACATCAAGTCCTGGACTGAGAGAATTGAAAATCACGCTGGGCATGTGCGTGTGCATGCCCCAAATCCCAAGAGAATGGAGGAGAAGGAATTATGATGTGTGCCTATCCCCCCCGAGGAGTGATTTTTCACTTTCCCTCTTTCTGTCTGTCTCCAGCAAGCACATGACCCCTATATAAAAAATCTAATATATACATATGTGTATATATATGTGTGTGTCATATATATATATATATATATATACACACACACACACATAAGATATCAGTGTTTGAAAAAAATAGACAAATAGCATTAATGAATTTATTAATATATGAGGAGTGATTAATGTATTTTATTCTTATGGAGATTTTAAGTCTCAACCTTCAGAGTTAATACTTGAAAGTCCAAGTGGATACTGTATTATTAAAAAGATTAATTGGGGCCAGCAGCTGGTAAGGCAATTAAGTTGCTGGTCTCCCACATGGCCGACCGTGGTTCAAACCCCAGACCCACTGTCTTGAAACTCATGTCAGTATACATGTGCGTGCGTGCCCAGGATCCTGGGGGAGAATGGAGGAGAAGGGATTGCAGCCTGGCCATCTCCTCTGGGGGGGTTATTTCTCACTTTCCCTCTCATGTCTCTGTCTCTGTCTCTCTCTGGCGAGCACATGTGCCCTAATGCAAAAACCTCTACCCCCCCAAAAAAAAGAGGGAAAGAAAAAGAAAGAAAGAAGGTTAATGAACTCTTTAATATAAAAAGAAATTTTGAAACTTTGACTTTGGGTTACTAAGAGTCATGCTGTATAAACTCTTCTTACAAATACCAAGTGCAGTTATTGCTCTGATAATGTTGAGTTTTCACAATATTATTATTTTATTTTCAGTGGTAAGAAAAACTGGGTCGATTATGAAAAGATGCTTTTGGTGCTGAAAATTGTTGTTAGGTGTTCTCATTGGATTCTGTTTATACTTTTTGACACTTTCCTGTTATTATTTTTTGAAAATCCAGTTTGATGTCTTTTTTATACTCTTTCAACATATTTGATTACAGGGTTACTATTTCATTTCTCTATAACCTAAAAATAGACAGTTTTATGATTGTTTAGAAACAACTAGTCACCATGCATTGCCTTTTCTTAAAATACTGCCTTTAAATGATTTTTCTATCAATCTATTTAAAAACAGAATGGACTTTTTGTTTTCTTTAGAGATTTTTGGTATAAGGTGTATGCACTCACTGGCGAGACAGAGACAGAAAGCAAGAAATCAGCGCCCCCAGGGGGTGATGGCAACACTGCAGTCCATTCTCCTCTTGGAATTTTGGACATGCACGCACATGCGCCCGGCGTGAGTTTGAAGCCATTGGGTCTGGGACTTGAACTCCAGTCAGCCATATGGGAGTCCAGTGACATAACCATTGCACCATCTGCTGGACCCCAAAACAGAATGGACTTTTAAGCTTTAGGGAAATATATTTCATTTGGATTCTCTTCACTATCTTGATAGAAATGGTTCTTTTGCTTCCTCAACCATATAGCAGCTTAATCTTTTTTTTTTTTTGCATATGCAGAATCTAATAACATACATAACCATTTTGTTTTAATTGTCATAGTCATTTATAAACCTTTATGTATTTTATTTAGAAGCACATCTATTTTTATACCTTTATATTAGTTTCTGAGGCAACAGGAGAATCGTGAAGTTATTCCAGAGTTGCCTGCTCCTTTTACCAACTCTTGTTCATTTGAGGTTTATAATTCAGGGTTCCAAGGATTTCTTTAATGTAATTTTTTAAAAAAAATTATTTTAGGGACCAGCAGTTGGTGTAATGGCTATGTTGCTGGACTCCCATGTAGTCGACCACAGTTCAAGTCCTGGACCCGGTGGCTTAAACTTATATCGGGTGCATGTGCATGCGTGCCCAAGATCCCGAGAGGAAAAAGGAGAAGAAGGGATTGTGGTGTGGCCATCCCCCTGGGGAATGATTTCTCACTTTCTGTCTCTTTGTCTCTCTTTTTCTGGTGAGCACACACACCCTATAGCAAAAACCTCTCCAAATTTTTTTAAAAATTTATTTTATAGCATTATACTTTATAGAAATGTACAAGGATTGTTTTTTAAATTTTATTTTAATAGCATTCTACTGTATAGAAATATAAACTAATTTTCTCTAGAGGTATTATTGACTAGCAACTGCATTTTCTATTTTTATCTTGTTTCTTTCACATTGCTGCTTAGATTGCAGTGCTGCAAGTAAATTGTGTTTTATCTTTATTCTCTTAGTATTTTAAAAATGTATCTGTCTTCTTGTTAGGATCACACATCAGTAATATTTTTATCATTCTAAAAATAGTATCTTTGAATATAATTGTGAGGAGTGAATGGTAAGTGGAATCATACTTCCAAAATATCACTTACATATTTATTTCATATTTATCTCATCTGAGTACCTGTTCTCTTTTGGAGCTCTACATGTGTTCATAGATATTTCAGATATTTCATTCGCTGACTTAAGAAAGTTCATGCTTTTTCTGCCACTCCAGACTTTTAATTGCATATGCATCTCCATCTACATTTGATTTTAGTTCTTTTGCTCTTTGATGATTTTTAGATCCAAGTTGGATAAAAATAAGGACCTAGCCACACAGGCTCCCGCTCTTGACCGCTTTGCTATCCTTTGCCATTGCTTCTGCCTCTCTTCATCTATTGGTAATGAATGGCATGTTTATAATCGAGATTCTTCTTTCTCTGTGACACTTTTTCATGATATAAATGCATTATTTTTCATCCAAACTGACCTGCCTTCTGATTCTCATGGAGTAAAACATGTGGCCATTACCAGACTCTCTCAAGTGCTACAAGCTCCCAAATATTTTGAATTTTCTCTTATTTTTCTCATTAGGGTGCAGTATAGATGCCAAGCAAGTTGAGGAACAATCTGCAGCTGCAAATGAAGAAGTACTCTTTCCTTTCTGTAGGGAACCGAGTTATTTTGAAATCCCTACAAAAGAATTTCAGCAGCCATCACAAATCACAGAGAGTACTATTCATGAAATCCCAACAAAAGACACACCAAGTTCCCACACAGCAGGTGCAGGGCATGCATCATTTACCATCGAATTTGATGACAGTACCCCAGGGAAGGTGACTATTAGAGACCATGTGACAAAGTTTACTTCCGATCAACGCCACAAGTCAAAGAAGTCTTCTCCAGGAACTCAAGACTTACCAGGGATTCAAACAGGAATGATGGCACCAGAAAACAAAGTAGCTGACTGGCTAGCACAAAACAATCCTCCTCAAATGGTATGGGAAAGAACAGAAGAGGATTCCAAAAGTATTAAAAGTGATGTTCCAGTGTACTTGAAAAGGTTGAAAGGTAAAGTGAATTGATCGTTTCAGAACTTCTTCTTTTATGATAAAGAAAATTCAGTCTTCACGTTTACCAAACTACTATTAGATAGTTAGATGGCAGAAAACCTATTTTTCACAATTTATATTTAGAGTCCAAAATCAAACCACACTACCTATGTTCCATTTATACATTCAAAATAATATTCCTTCAGTTTCTTGCCAAAAACAGCTTTGTTTTGTGAAATTATATTTATGCCACTAAGTATGCTCCTTTTTCCTATGGAAATATAAAATGTATGCAGTTTACCAGTGAAATTCCCTAGGAGGTAGATTACACCATTTTCTTGATTTAGGGAAAAGACATATTAAATTCTGTTCTTAATTATGATGCTTCCAGTAAAATGTCAGTACCTAGATTTTGAAAGAAATTTCGAACCATTTGGTATGGGCCAAAAAATTCTACTTGGGTAATACAGTCCTGTTGATAGAATGCTTCAGACTGTCTTCAATGGTTACTCACAAAACAAATATTTTTGTCTATTGTCTAGAAATTTACTAGCAGTCTATTAACCTACTTAATTTTTTTCAATATTAGACTTTGTGAAAATTACAGTTGAATGTTTCTTTGTGAAATAGTAATTTAGTATGCTTCATTAGTGTAGCACTTGGCCAAAATTAGTAAGATCTTTATACCTGTACATCATTGTATCAGGCAATCCATTTCCCCACATTGGCTTTCAATTGAATTTATTTTAAGATTAATTAAATACAGATTTGTGTTACTCTGTCTAATATTTTGCTTAATGAGCTATTTATAAGGAAAATGATTTTGATCACATTGCAGTCGTGTGTTAATCTATTAGGAGTTAATGGGATTTTAAGAAACACTCTTGACATCCATGACCATATATCCCTAACTATTCCTCTGGGATGTGTATGTGTTAGGTACTCAGTAATTTGAATAAATAATGATGTTTGCTATCAGTGACAAGACTGACCCAAACTTAATCCATACCTTATGCCCTGGGATTTTGTTCAGGTACTGAAGAAATAGTATTCTTAAATTTATTTCTGATTTACTTCTGGTACATTTCTGGATAGTTAGATTATGTGATTATCTAATTCTTTATTGAGGCCTGTTACAGTATTCAATTACAGTCATCAGCAGTTACCTGGCATGTGTACGTTTTTAATTGCCAGAGGCCATATGCACTTACCACAGAGGGGGAGAAAGTACCTCCAGTGAAGCATGGTCACACTGCATTTTTTTTTCCTCATTTCTTCAATCCATCAGAATTTCGAATGCATGTGCACACACACAAATATACACACATACACTCACACATCCCCCGTGTTTGTCAAGCTGCCATGAATGGAAATTGAGCCACATTTGGCTGTGTGGAATTTAGCTTCCCGTCTGCAGCACTTAATCATTGCACTGTGGAGCTACCCATGGCCTGTGTACTTCTGAGATATGATTGTGATCTTTAGCTTTTATTGGAGTCTCTCTCTCTCTTGCTCTCTCTGTCTGTATACATTTTATTTATTTATTCAATGGCTGAGAGAGACAGAGACAAAAATACAATAGCATCCCTAACACAGTCTTGACACAGTATTCGACTTCCAGCTTCAGCCACTGCAGATCAGGGACACACGTGTGCCCAAGCACTCAAGGATGTCCCAGACACAAACTGGCAACCTTCCCACATAGGTTTGTGTAACAAAGCATTGCGCTTTACCGCCATGCCACCACTGGGCCCCTGGACATTGTTAATACATAACTATGTATGTGTATGTGAAGGTTAAAGCTCCCAGTTAAAAGCTGCTCTTGTAAACTGATCAATCATATGATTTAGATAAATAATACTGATATCTTAGTATATTATTAGTGTTACCATGAACTTTGAAAGTGTAGCAATAACTCAGTCTTTTTAAACCACTCTTGATATTTGGAAAAATGAGTGAAAGGACCTTTTGAAAGATACCATTTAAAAATATTATACTTTTATTAAATCATTTTAACTGTAACTACTTTAGTCATCATAACTATTTGAAGTATTATTTTGGGTTTTGTTTTGTTTTGATGAGTGTGGGAGAGTAGTAGGTTTTTGTTTTGTTTTGTTTTTGTATATGTGGATGGTTCTTTTTTGGGGGGGGACAGGATTTTGTCATCACAGTCCTCTTCCCCTAGCCTCCCTGTCATCTTGGACTTACAGGTGTGTGCCACCTCAACTGGCCTGTTCAGGTTGATCCAAGATCTGAACCTGGGCTCTCAAGTGGCCCTAGCCTTGTATAGCAACACTCTAGTACCTGTACTGCTGCAGTTATTTATTTTTTTCAGAATTATTTATTAAATTTTATTCATTTATTCATTTTTATTTTAAATTTGACCAAAGAGAGACAGAGAAAGGGAGAGGGAAAGTGAGAAAGCAAGACACCAGGTCCAGGACTTGATCTATGGTCAGCCATGTAGGAGTGTCCAGCACCTTAACCACCATTCCACCTGCTGGTTCCCCTATATGTTATTTTTAAGCCATTTTTTAAAATTAAATAAACTTTATGAAGTTTATTTGTTCCATGAGTATAAGAGAGACAAAGATTAAGCATCCCTCACAGGGACATGATGTCACGGTACATTCTGATCTTCTGCCAGTCTGAATCATGGACAGCCTGCCCAGCATACTCTTCTTTTATAGTTGCCTTTAACTATTTTACAAGCCATCCAACAACATTTTTGTATGAATATAACTCATTTTTTATCCGAGGTAGATTAATTTTACTTCTCTGGACATATTTACAAATAATATTTGACTTTCTTCAAAAGTTAGAGCTACCATCATTAGACAGCAATTTTCCACAATTTAAGATATCAAACATATGTACTCAGAATCGAAAGAAATATAATAATAGCAATTAGTAACAATTATATAAAAGTTAGACTTTTAGCAATTGTTCAGATCAGTTAAAAAGTTGAAAGTAGGCAAAACAAAAATAGGAAAGCCTTGCTCCTACGAGAGTAAAGTGCACGTGATTTGGGACAGTGAAGAGAATAATGTTCACAAAGCCCATACACTTTTACCCTTGAGAAGAGTTGCAGCTTTTTTTTTTTTTGGCCACAGCTCCTGACTTTATACCTCTAACCAACCCTAAAAACAATGTTAAAAGAACTTTAACATATTGAGGCATTGTTAATGATAGGCAAAAGGAACTGAAAATTGGTAAGAATTTCCTAGTGATCTTTTTGTTGAGTAAAAACAGAATTGCAGCTCTGCTCAGATACCTCATCTTGTGTAACACTGAGAAATATGAGCATTTTACAAGAAAGAAAATGGGTAGAAACCTCAAACATAAATTATAGAAAAGATACTTGGAAGGGCCTGACCCTACTAGGTGCCAAGCTGTATATGTTGGAACAATAATTAAATTTTGTAAAGATTATATTTTTATTAAAACTTTTGAGTATGTGTATAATGTGAGTTATTTGGTCTTATAACAAAAGAAATATTGGAATTTAGTTATTTTCAGTTCTTATGAACTAGGTTTTAAAATGTATTTTTTTTTAGTAAATTTTCTATTTGATCTAATGGTTTAATTTGGATTTTGCTTTCCATCTGCTTCCTGTGATCCCTAGCTTAATTCCAAGCTTGGTTACCTGAAACAGGGATTCCATTAATTAAACCTTGTTTATTTGTTTTCAAATTGCATTTTTGAATAGTTCATAATTTGAAAAAGATTTTCAGATTTTTTTTTTATCTGATTTTTAAAATGTTAACACTATCACTTTGGAAGGTTCCCCAAACACCCTCCATTTTGATCAGTTTACTCCCTTTGTTTCCCTTGTCCAGTCCTTTTCCAAAACATTACCCTTTTCTATGTGTTCTGTCATTATCTATTCTGAATCTTCTCATTTCTTTTATACCACAATCCTCTTGTATTAAATCATTAGCCTCAGTTAGTAGCCTTTAAATCATTAGGAATAAAACCATGAGTATTAAAACTCAGCATTTTCACTGGACAACATACGTCTTTTAGTCTTCTCACCCTTCAAGTATTTCTTTTTTCTTTTTTCTTTTGTGATATGGTGCATGCACTCACCAGAGAGAAAGGGAGATGGAAAAGGTATCCCCCAGTACAGCATGGTTATGCTATCTCTAATCCTTTCTTCTCCATTTCTCCATCCTGTTGGGATTTTGAGCATGCTCACACATGTTGTTAGAGTATCTTTCAGGCTCCTGGAGCCTGGACCTTAACCATGTGGTCAGCCATTTAAGAGCCAGCTCCATTAAGCACTAGGCTATGGGGCCAGCTCTATAATAATATTACAGAGGATTTCATAGCCCATTCTCAAGGAGCTAGCCAGGAACCTATCCTCTTCTGCACAAGGTCTAGCTGGCTCCTAAAATAATTTATTTCCTATCATTTTCTTGTTTAGTACCGAATTATTCATTGGATGTTTATATTAGAATTTGTAGTCTAGAGAAATTTAAAAATAAGATTCAGTTCTAGAAACAATAGAATATAACTGGTTGACTAGATTTACTTATAATCTCTAAAGTAGCCATCATTTAAGCACTGACTTGTGATTCCATATAAAACACACATTGAATATTCCTTGATTTTTCAATTTCATTCTGTAATAATACAATAACTTGATTACTTTAAAAAATATATTATTTAAGTAGTAAGAATTCTAAACCAGTGAAAAACCAAGTTATTTTAATAGTGCTGCATCAAGTCCCTAACAGAACTAAGAAGGGTAACTACTTTATGGTTTTTACTTGCTCTGATATCAAACAAAACAAAAATAAACAAACAAACATAAAAAACCTTTGTTAGTAAGCTGATATTTCAGAATTCACATATATTTTAACTTTACTCTACATGCAGTATAGAAAAGACATCTGGTTATATTTAAAATCATGCTGTTTGCCTAGTGGGACCTTAGATTTATATAGGGATTTAATAGAATATTCTTTCTTGATAGGCCTCTTAGCATGCTTTAATTAACTATTTAGAGCTGCCTGAATTTAGAGCACAAATGCAGTTTTCAAAAATTCTCACAGAAAGACATTTGGAAAAACTGTTCTCATAATTAGTGGGAACTACAAATTTGAATCTTTTTATTTAAAAGGAAAACAAGCAGGCCAGCAGGTTTTGTGGAGGTTAAGGCAGCTTGATTCCACCTGGCCAACTCTTCAGTTTGAGTCCCAGTCCCAACGGCTTGAAAAATATGACAGGTAAATGTGTTCATGTCCCCAAAATTCCTAGAGGAGAATGAAAGTGTTGGGACCGCAGTGTGGCCATTACGAGGGATGATTTTTCACTTTGCTTCTCACTGTGTTGCTCTCTCTCTCTCCTGCAAGCACATGAACCTTATAGCAAAAAAAGAAAAAGAAAAATAGGAAAATAGGATGAATTTTTGGGAGTACTGAATACCATTGAAAGTTAAGATTCATATTATTGTGCTATTTATATTCTCTTTTCCTATGTAACAATAAATATTTTGGTGGTATCATCCTTTTTGTATTTTTTTTCATGCTAGGTTCAACATTTTAATGTCAAATTAGTGTAAGGTTTCAAGGCAGCATTATCATGATGTTATAAATATAAAGTATCACAGATAATAGAGCATCACTTATCTATTAAGGCATTGACAAATCATCATAAAGTAAAAACTGGGAGAAAGAAAGACAATCGTATTTAGTTGTTTATAAAGGACCTCATTGTTGGTTGATGAAATTTGAATGTAACCATTGCAATTGAGAGACGTTTGCAGAGCCTGTTACTGAAAAGAACATATGACTTTGAATTGAAAAGGGGAGGAGGCAAAAACAAATGGCACTTTTGTATATGCTTCTAAGTTTCTACATGGGATTTTTTTCCCTTCTCTATTATGCAATTTCTTTTTTGTATCCCAGGAAATAAACATGATGATGGTACACAGAGTGATTCAGAGAATGCTGGGGCTCACAGGCGCTGTAGCAAACGTGCAACTCTTGAGGAACATTTAAGGCGCCACCATTCAGAGCAGAAAAAGCTACAGAAGGTCCAGGCTACAGAAAAGCATCAAGATCAAGCTGTTGTAAGTCAAACTGCTTTTATGATTGCATTCTTTGATGAAGACAATCCCAGAAAAAGGCGGTCATATTCTTTTACTCAAAGTGCAGGAATCTTGTGTCAGGAAACTGCTTATTCAACACCACATGCAAAACTTGAAAAAGCAAAATCTCCAACAGCAGATGCCAAAGTGGTTTCTTTGTCTTTACAGACTAGCTCTGCGCATCACAGAGGGGGGCATGGTGTTCCACATGGGAAATTATTAAAGCAGAAATCAGAGGAACCATCGGTGTCAATACCCTTCCTACAAACTGCATTATTAAGAAGTTCAGGGAGTCTGGGGCACAGACCAAGCCAGGAGATGGATAAAATGTTAAAAAACCAAGCTACTTCTGCTACTTCTGAAAAGGATAATGATGATGACCAAAGTGACAAGGGTACTTATACCATTGAGTTAGAGAATCCCAACAGTGAGGAAGTGGAAGCAAGAAAAATGATTGACAAGGTAAATAATTGCAATTTGGGTATGATGTTAGTTGTTCTGTGGTGTATTTTACCCTTGGATTTTACAGGAGAGTGAATGTGAACTGTTCTCAAGCATTCAGTGGTACTGGAACTTGAGGGTTTTTTTTTAGGGGACTACAAAACTAACAGTTAAGGAGCAGAAACTTTCTGATTATCTTTGCTTGCATTATGATCTTCCTAGGTTGCATACTTTAAAGTCCTGTACATTTAAACTGTTTGGACCTTTTAAACTTGTGTGAATTGATGATAGGCTTTAAAAATAGCATACTGTGGACATTCTTGCTCTGCATGTATTTATTTAGAAACTAAAATCAGTCAGCAAACAGGTTGCTGTAGCTGTGTTAACAAAAATATAAATGTTGGCTGGTAATAGTTACCGCAGATTTCTTGCCTTCTGACTTCATGTTGGAAGCAGATAAAATATATTTTAATTATTTTTGTTCCTTGTCCTTACTTATTTTCTTAAATGTCTATTTACCGCCATCTTTGGTGATAGAAAAGGTATATGTGAAAACCAAATTAGTTGTTTATAATACTCCCAGTTTAGCCAAGTGTATGTCTAGTCATTATGATCATCTAAACTTCAGATATATATGTTCTTTTATGTTACTAGTTAATGTATATTATGATGACTTATGATAGTTTTTCCTACCGTAATAGAAAGTTGACTTTAGAATCAGTTATTTTATTTCCCAGAAAATAGCAGCATAAGTTTGGCTAAACATTAATCTGTTGTTTAAAATCTTATTACTCAAAATGTGCTCCATGAATAAGCAACATTAACTACTCGGGAAGTTATTAGAAATATAGAGTCTAGGCCCATCTCAAACATACTGAATCAGAATCCATATAAAAAAATAAGATCTCCAGGTAATTTGTATGCACATTAACGTTTGAGGTGCACTGATTTACATGCCAAGTTTCCAGAATGGACTCTCATGGAATGGGCAATACTCTTGGGTATGCAGAAAAATAATTAGGATGGCTTTTTTGTTGTTGATTGCTTGTTTTTAAATTGCCAGAGATGCATACATTCAGAGAGAGAGAGAGACAAAGAGAAGGGGACAAGGCAAAAGCACCCCCAGTGGGTCATTATCATTCCACAGTCCCTTCTCCATTCCTACATCCTGTTGAGATTTGGGGTACACTTGTACATTTGCTGTTTTTTCAAGCTGCAGAGTCTGGGACTCAATCTGTGTGGTGGGTTATTTGGAATCTAGTTCCCTTAACTACCAGGCCTCAAAGCTAAACAAAGACTTATGTTTACTTTTAAGTTCATATTTTTAGTTTCTGTTTTAGCATGTATTCTACAGTGTATGTAATCTATTACTACCTCAGTACATATATGTAATTATTAAACATAAATTTATTGAAGAGTCTATGCTCACAATTTCTACTGTTGAGGTACCCAATTTGAAACTTCTGAGACCCATTAGTCTAGGAAATAAGTGTTAATAGGAAAAGTATTATTAGAGTTGATAATAAAAATAATGGATTTAAGAAATATTGGGTATTTCATTCCTAATAGCTGAATTCTTTTCCAATTGAAATTATTTTATGGGGCCAGCAAGTGGCATGGTGGTTAAAGTGTTGGACTCCCACATGGCCGACCATGATTTGAGTCTTGAGGGGCTCTTCAGCATGCCCTATGGCAAAAATCTAAAAAAAAAAAAAAAAAAAGAAAAAGGAAAAGAAATCGCAAGGAGAAAACAGAGGAGAAGTAATTGCTGTGTGGCCATCTCCCTAGGGAGGTGATTTTTCACCTTCCTCCTCTCTGTGTCCTCTCTGTCTCTTTCTTTCTGGCAAGTGCATAGCCGTATGGCAGAAAAAATCTTTAAAAACAATTTTTAAAGATTTGGGAGATGATGCACATGATCATATTTAAGAACATGAACACCGGCTGGCAGACAGACCTCTGGGATCAAGTATAAGCTCAGCATGTGCTATGGTGTACTCTTGAGTAAATTAACCTCTTTTAAAAAAACCTCATTTTCTTTTATCTGTAAAGTGGAGGAAATTTCAGAAGTTATAAAAAGAATTTAACAAAACATATGAAAGGCTTATCACAAAGCCTATCTTCTTAATAAGAACTCTATAAATGTTGACTCTGGTTATTCATCACCTTATTAGGAGTTTCCACATAGGACCCTGCACAAGGTCCTGACAAGTACTGGGAAACCCTTTTAGCAATAAAAGATCAAGTATGGAGCCAAAGTGGAAGTTACAGTGCAAGGAACCAGACTGGCCAGGACAGTAGAAAGCCAGGAAAGAAGTTATAATTGCAAACGAGGTTCCTTAGGAGACTGTGGATAGAGAGGATGACCTCAATCACTGGATTACACCTGTTATCCATGATTATTACAAGCATCCTTTTTTCATTCTCAAACAGTTAACAGTTTTGGCAGAAAATTATATGGTCACAGTATGACTAGAAAAATCCAAGATTTTAGAACAGGACTCAAGAGAGTAATGACAGTATGTGATTAGATAGGTAACTGAGTCGATTTTTGTCTAAGTTAGAAAACAAAGCTGAAACCATACTGCAAGGAAAAACAAGGGTTGTACATTATCCTGTGACTACAAAAGAAACAGAGCTGAGGTTTCATTAGCTGTAGTTAAAGCTGGACGCCAAATTCAGGCTCATTAGTCAGGTTCTGGGGAAACAAGCAGGGGGAACTATGGAATCAAATGTCTGAATATGAAATAACCTGTGGGCGTGGGAAAAACAAAGACCAAGAAGCATAAAGAATCACCTTAGGGGGATAGGAGTAGATACAGTGGTTTGGTTTTTTTTTTCTTTTTTCGGAGAGGTTTTTTGCTTATAGGGCGCGTTCGCTCACCAGACAGACAGAGACAAGAGAGACAGAAAGCGAGAAATCACCTCCCAGGGGGGATGGCCATGCTGCAATCTCTTCTCCTCCATTCTCCTCTCAGGATCTTGGGCACGCACGCACACATGCCCGGCGTGAGTTTAAGCCACCGGATCCAGTCCTCGAACCGTGGTTGACTATGTGGGAGTCCAGCAACATAGCCATTATGCTAACTGCTGGTCCCAAGTAGATACAGTTTTCATACCAAATTGTTTGGATGAGCTCCCTCTTTAAGTTTAGATGTTCAGGATGGAAGTTGGAGCCATCAGCCGTTGTGTCTGAATTTCAATGTTCTGTGATCCTGAAAACTTTCATATTGTGTCTTTCCCTTTTTACTCCATGATTTTGAGAACTTGTTCATTCATTTAGCAACTTTTATTCAACATCACCTCTGTGCCAGACTGTGTTAGGAAAGAGGGATTCATATCAAGAAAGCTGAGTTTTTCTCCTCAAGAAATGAATGTGTTGCTTCTAAGGACTAAATACTAATATTTTTAAACTCTAAATAAAGCAAACAACATATTTACATAAGATGTATTTTAAGGAGAAAGTAGGAAGAATAGGCCTAGCCATGGTGGCACATGTGGGAGGGTGCTGCTGTACAGTAGCTGGGGCCACATGGAAGCCCAGCTTTCGTTCCCAGCCCAACCTACATGGGCCGGGCACAGTGGGCTGTGCCTATGGTTCTGGCCAACTGCAAGCCAGGGCAGGAAGATGGTGGCATGGCAAGATTCTGCCAAAAATACTTACCTACCTCTCTATAATATGTGCTATCATCCACTTTTTTTCCTCTATTTTTCTCATTTAAAAAGAAAAAGAAAGACCAACTATTCTCTCTTTATTATTCTAGTAGGAAATCCTATTCACATTTTTTGAAAAGCAGGGTTTTATGAAAATAACTAAGGGATAATTAAGAATTTTTAAAAAAAAGAGTTTTTAGTGGGATCCAAATACAGGTAAAAACAATTAAGTTAAAAATAGTATGTTGCAGTTGGTGGAGAAAATGTACCAATAGCTTCTGAAAGGAGATCTTGGGTAAAACAACCCTTTATCAGAAAAGTCTTCAGCCATACAATCCAGTGAAATACCCCCAGTAGTCATTGTCACTAACTTGTTTCCCTTTTTTTGGAGAGGTTTTTGCTATAGGGCGTGTGCACTCGCTAGAAAGAGAGAGACAGAGAGACAGAAAGCAAGAAATCACCCCCCCCCCAGGGGGGATGGCCACACCGCAATCCTTTCTCCTCCATTCTCCTCTCGGGATCTTGGGCAAGCACACACACGTGCCTGGCGTGAGTTTAAGCCACTGGGTCCAGGACTCGAACTATGATTGGCTACATGGAAGCTCAGCAACATAGCCATTAGGCTAAATGCTGGTTCCACTAACTTGTTTCCTTTTAATCATAATCTTTAGCACTCTTCACTGTTTCTCTCTGTATTTGCTTCCTCACACCCTGTAGAGGAGGGAAACAAAAACACACAAATAGAAACACACACACACACACATGCATGCACACACACACACATACATGAATGTAAACTTTATGACTAGGAACCTAGTGTTGACTTGTAAGATGTTTTAAAAAAATACTGAATTTAGTTGCTTAGACCAGCAGATGGTGCAGCAGTTACATTACTGGACTCCTCCTACATGCTGATTTGATTCAAAGTCCTGGACCAGTAGTTTCAAACTCACACTGGGCACGTATGCATGTGTGCCCAAGATCCCAGGAGGAGAACAGAGGAAAAGGGATTGTGGTATACATATCATCCACTTGGGGAGGGGATAATTTCTCACTTTCTGTGTCTCTGTCTCTCTCTTGTCTCTCTGGCAAGCACATGTGCCCCAGAGAAAAATTAAAATCTCTCTTAAAAAAAAAATACACACACACAATTTAGCTGAGCCAGTTTTGAAACATGTTTAATTCTATAACAGGCATGGTGGGTAGCCCTTTCCAAAACACAGGAGCAAGCAGCACTTGTTCAACAGATCACAGCTAGTTTTAGAGAGAGGCTATTAGACAAGATAGTGATGTCCCTTGGGTATCACACTAAAGACTCCATGCTGAATGCAGTGGGAAATCATTGAAAACACTTAAGTAGAACAGTGAAA